CACACACACACACACACACACACACACACAGACACACAGACACACACACGCACACACACACACACACACACACACACGTGATGACCAAAGACCCTACCAATACCGACCGGTGGGAGCAAACAAACTATCTCAGTTGGTTGGCACCAAGCGTACCGCCGCAGGCGGTCAGTGGGGATTGACCCCACGACCCCTTGTAATGCCTGCTTGCGTGCCGAACCAACTGGGCTAGACTGCTTGCTCTCATTAATTGTTTGAAACCCCTGGCCATTGCCCACCTGATCTGACATAAATTTCTTTCTTTTGTTCTTTTTTCCATTCTGGTTTGTGCAACAGGTGGATAACGGCATTCCCATCGAGAGTTGGTTTGATGACCAGTCAGATTGTGCATTGCAACTGATTCTCCCCTTCTTAGAAACCCTCGTTGGAGTGGACGATGTGCGGCCAGTGATTGCAAAGCAGTTCAATTTGCGAGAAAAGATTGCAGCCGCCGCGGAACCCCCTGGATTCGCTGAGAGAGCCGATGCATTGCTGCGTTGCCCTTAGTTGGGGTGGGGGTAAGTAACTGACTGGCAAGAAGAAGACAAGTGCTATCTGCAACCTTTGAAGTTTGAGCGCATCAAGTCAAAGGGCTTCGCAGTTGGCGGTTGCCATGCCATGCGACTACTGTGCATCGACGACTCCTGTTATATACACGGCTCGGCTTTGTGTTGCTACAAATGTATAAGCGTCTGATCCTGCATTACCTCAGCTGAAATTTTCTCCCAAGTTCCTTGTCCGTAGATCTTGAGTAGATTGCTTGCTTGTTGTCCGCGTTGTTGTCATTTGACTAACCCGCTTTGCGATTCCCAGCGAGATTGTGGAGGGAGGTCTGTGAGTGCGTTGATTATTCATTTGTCCCGACAAAATCTGCTTTCGTGCACATGGGAGTTGGGACTATTGTTAGAAGTCTGAATGGTTATGAGCACCAACGAGACCCTTTTTACACCCTCGTCTCTTTCCCTGGGTGGGTGGTGGTGGTTTGTGGGGAGGAGGGGGGGGTAAGTGTGCAAATGTATGTGATTGATTGGGTGGGTGAAAGGTCATCCGTCAAAGTCTGCCCATTGATTGATACAGCCGGAATGTACGCAACCGCATTTGTGCCGCGCACAGGTCTGCTCTCTCAGCTTTTCTGCTGGACAGGCAATGGCTGGGTTGGATTTGAGTTCCGATGTGTGATTAGCATGATGAGTGAATGAATGAGTGAATGCCGCTCAATTCAAATCATTCATTATGTACATTCTCTGTCCGGTGATGCTTGCGGGAGGGTGCCTGTCTATTTGGAACACATAATTTATTACACTGAGAAGTGTGCATTTGCACAAAATCGTCGTAGTTGTTGTGACTGCCATAGGGAGAAGCAGTTTAAGGATCCGTGTAAACATGAGGTTTTAGAATGTTTGTGAAAACGGTGCGATTGCACATACATGTGGATGATGTGGGCTACCACTTTGGTAGTGTTGTCGCAATGCCGATGAGGAGGGATGCGTTAACTAACATATAGCTGTGGAGACGGCTGGTGGTGTTTGACGAGTGAGTGGCAAATAAGGAGCGATGCAGGTGGGAGAACAATACTCCCCACACAATGCGACAAATTGTGGTTCTGTGGATGGTTGTTTCTCCACTTCATAAATTCCCTTGATTTAGCAGCATCGGGAAGCTAGAGTAGAGAGAGGTACGAGGTTGACGTCCATTTCCTAGTTTGATATTTATAGTGAGGGAGTTGAGAAGCAGTTTTAGGTTCACATCTAGTTTTGTCTCTTCCTTGTTCGCTTGTTATAATCTGCCGGCGAAGTTTCTTCCTGGAAATGGGCCAGACTGCTAATCTGACACAAGGGAATCCAACACGTGTTCACACTGTTAGTGTATGCCTGGTGATTCTTCTCAGAAGTTACAAGACTGGGATTTGCGTGTGCGCATGGAGTGTGTAGGTGTGTACGCGCGTGGCGTGCATGTGTGTGTGTGTGTGTGTGTGTGTGTGTGTGTGTGTGTGTGTGTGTGTGTGTGTGCACGTGTGTGAACCTCCCGAACAGTCTTTGTGTGGGTGCATGTGTGAGATGTTGGTAGGTTGGCGGCATTGAAACGAACGGTATTTTTTTCGGCACAGGATTTTGGGTTTTGCACAAAGAGATCGTGAACCGGGTCATCAGCACGTATAGTGTGGCTGGTTTGCACTCAGAAGATGTGGAGTTTTTTGTGTGAATACAATTTTTAAGATGCGTGATTGGTAGTCAAATACTCTCCGGCGATTAATCGGTTGGCAAGTGTGAACACCAGTCCCTCCGTTTTTTTCCCATTGGAATGTACAGAGAAGCGGAAGCTTGAGCGCAGGCAACTATGGTTGCTTACGGCTTCTCAGTCTGTGTACGAGAGAGCGAGAGAGCGAGAGAGAGAGAGAGTTTCTGTGGTGTTGTAGGGAGTGGTACAATACATGACTAACTGTTTGATATGACCGGACGTTTTGTGTGAAGGTAGGGATACTAGTCAAAAGTTTTTCTTGCAGAGTGCTGGAGCAAAAGGGGGCGATGCTGTACTTCGGTCATACGCATGCCTCTGATTGATGCCTGGAAAGCAAAGTGGCGTAGACAGGTAAGTGGTGGGGACCATCAGTACAAGGGGGGCCGTTGAGAGTATTGGTCCCATTGCCGAGGGAATAAGGTGACTTGACTCGTTGACACAAGAGGAGCCCTTATTGAGAAGAACAGCAAGAGAGTTTCGGACGTTTGCACCACCTGCTGTACATTCCGTAGAGGAGATCTGAGAGAGACTGCTACGAGTGCTGTGCGGAAATGGGCCCATGGTACCAAAGTTCCAGTTGGTTGTAAGAGCCCATGGTACCAAAGTTCCAGTGGGTTGCAAGGCCCCATGGTACCAATGGAGTCCAGATCTGAAGATTGCTCTTCTGGTCTGCATGAAGTTAGTGATCGTGAGAGAGACTGCTACGAGTGCTGTGCGGAAATGGGCCGTAATCAGAGATGCAGAAAGTATATTCAGCAAAAAATACCTCGTCTTTCACAATTCTAGCTGTGGAGGCTATTCAAATTAGTGCTCCCTAATTATGCTGGCAAGGCGCAGACAAACCGCATGGTGTCCGATTGTCGATCATGGTGCTTTGCATAGTTGTCGTCTTTTGCTTGTTGCAGTGTTTGAGACTTTTTAGGGTTGAGTGTTCTCGACTCTTCTTAGGCTAATTATGCAGGTAAGTTATTTCTGTGGAGGTGGGTGTTCTCTGTCCGTCCACCAACAATCTCTCACGTTGAGTGTTCTCGACTCTTCTTAGGCTAAGTTATTTCTGTGGAGGTGTTCTCTCTCGACCGACAATCTTCACGTGCACGAGCAGGATGCGCCAACCCTGTCTGATAAAAGATGGCCAACTCTCTCCTCTCTTATGTCTGTTCAGTCTTGCTTTCCTTCCTTCCTTCCTTCCTTCCTTCCTTGCTTCCTTCCTTCCTTCCGCCTTCTTCGTGGGAGTGAATCAGCATTTGCTAGGTCCTTTCTTCGCCTTTCTTCTTGCTGGAATGAAGCACAATCTGTTTGTTGTGCATTCAAGATGGCGGGGCATGAACGGGTTTGATTTGTCGGAGATGAACGTGACCGTGTATGTGACCGTGTACATTGTTTGAGTCTGGTGACGGTTTGTTTGCGGTGTGTGCTTTTTTTAGAGAGGCCCCCTAGATGATGTAGAAGCAGAAAGAGAGATCCCTTCCCTCCCCTCTCTATTACTAATTTCCCTGGCTTTCAAAGCCAGACACAACCTTGGGAGTGTTGTTCAGATGGCCTGTGATTGTGTATGGACTCTATGGAGGGCTTAGTTACCTTTTCGATGTGTTGTTGGCACATATGGAAGACGCGACACACATTTTATGTACCATATATATGTATTGGAAAAAGGGCGAAAGAGAGATCCTTGTCTCAATCAAGTATATGTTTCTCGCTGTTTGTGACAATTGATATAGCTGCTTGGACAGTAGCAGAAGCAGTGATTGTGCGCCCGTGATGGTTGAGCGTTGAACTGTGGCTTGTGTTAGCTCCTCTGGATGTGGTACTTAACATAAATGACTTCTGTCCATGTTTTCTTAAGATAAACAAACAAAAACTAAGAGTCGTTGATATCATCATTTTGACATTTTAGGAGATTGGATCTGTTTGCCTCTCTTCATTGGTTTGGATTGCACCTACAAGTCATTTCGAGGAGAGCTTCAAACAGCTATCATGATGTGTGTGTGTGTGTGTGTGTGTCGTTAAATGAATTCTAGTGCTTCTTGAGGGGGAAGTCTCTCTCTTTTTTCTCTTCATTTTGCTTGGTTTATCTTTGAATTTTCTGTCATTGCCGAGTCTATGGTAGTGAGACATCGGAGTGAAGCGAGCTGAAAAGTTGTGAAAAAGATGCTTCATTTTGTTGGTTCATCTTTGAATTTTCTGTCATTGCCAAGTGTTAGGTATCTTGACAGCAACAGGATGGATGCTGAAAGGAGAAAGGGGGTATGGCAAGTTGACAAGTGCAAAAGATGCACGCTCACGTTCGTCTTAATTAAGCACAGATGGTTGTTTGTCTTAAACCACCAGTACCCCAGGGGGTCTTAGGCACCTTTTGGGTCCCCTCGGACACAAATGAATACATGGACCCCTGTGGCGCACTGATTCACCCACCGCGTTAACGGACTAAAAATGGCGAGGTACTGGTGGCTTAATTAAGCACGTATGCTTGTTTGTCCTAATTAAGCACATATGCTTGCTTGTCTTAATTAAGCACAAATGGCTGTTTGTCTTAACTAAGCACATAGTGGTTGTAGCAACACGCTCTACTTAGCTTGCTTTTCCTTTGCTGAGGATCGATCCGTGGTTGTTGTTTGTCGTCGTGACGCTCAGAATTGAATGTGCAAGTTTTGAATTTTATTTTTTATTTTAAATTTGGTGAAGAATTTCGATGTGACCCTGTGGCAAAAGTTGTTCAGTTTATTTTTCTGCATCACATAGTTTTTTTTTCAGATTTTTTTTTTTTTTTTTTTTTTTTTTTTTTTTTTTTGCTTGGACCTTACCTGATCCCTGCACGGGCTGGCCACCCGGGACCCGGGCGGCCCGGCTGGTAGCCTAGGTGCAAGTTCATAGTTTAAGAGATGTGATGAATTGGATGTGCAAGTTACAATTTGTATGATTATTTTTGATGTTTTAATAGTTTTATAGCTTTAGAGATGCGTCATAATGAATTGAATAACACTCGCAATGGACTGCGCGCATTACATGTCATTGGTGTGCAATCAATTAGGTTTTGTCCTAACCCTTGAGCAGCATTGGCTGCGGGGGGAGGGCGGTGTTCCGCTGCGCGTCGGAATCATGTTGAAGTTTTGAGGCGGGCCGGCGGATGAAGGCGATCGAGGGCGGGTGGGCGTGCGGACTGGTGCGCGTACCGAATTGTTCACAGCGTGCCAGAAAATGTGAGAGCGCGCCCACAGGGCCCAGCGGCGGTGGGCGTTGATACGAGGGAATATCTCGAAGCGCCTGCTGTCGGATAGCAAGAAAGTGTTGTTTTCTGTTTTTTTCCTTTTCTAATTCTGTTTTTGCATTTTTTTTTTTTTCTCGGGACGCGTTCCTCTTTTTTTCTTTTCTCTCTGCGCGGAAAAGACAAAAGCAGGAATGCGATCGTTTTTGCAAGCTTCTCTGGCGTCATCGCTGACAAAAGGAAGCGGGGTGGCGGGTGTGTCGCAGGCAGCTCCCCACCCACCCTGCACACCCGCACCCCCACCACCCTACACACCCGCATGCATGCACGCACATACACACACACACACGTCAATATTTCGAAGTTTGCTATCAATGGTTGTTGTTGGGGTTGAAGTGTATCCGATGTCAGGCAGTCGACAGTCAGAATGTGCCTGTGTCCAAACCCTAACGTTGCACAGTGTGGCAGGCGGGTCCAGTCCCGCAATTTTCAAGCACCAAATCTGGTGATTTTTCACGCTCAGATGAATTGAGGAAAAACTCTGAAAAATTGAGATCCGTAGATTAGGTTGTGATCTTTCTAGGAAAAATATCAAAAGAAAAAAAAATAAAAAAAATAGACCGTGAAATAAATGACGCGCCGTTTCATTGCACTGTCCATTTTTGTCATTCTTGCACGTGTTGCCCAACGGGAAAAGTACCCCAACTTCCGCGATTTTTTGCGCTCAGAAGGATAACTCCACAACTCTGAAAATTGATAGGCCTGTAGAAAGGGTCGTGATCTTTTTACGAAAAATATTTAAAAAAATAAAAAAAATATTTAAGATCGTGAAATAAATGCCGCACCAATTCGTCCTATATTCATTTTTTGGGGTCTTTTGCTGCTGTATCATGTGACGGCCAACGGGAAAAGTACCCCAACTTCCGCGATTTTTCGCGCTCAGAAGGATGACTCCGCAACTCTGAAAATTGATAGGTCTGTAGATTCGGTTGTGATCTTTCTATGAAAAATCTTTAAAAAATAAAAAAAGATATTTAAGATCGTGAAATAAATGCCGTGCCAATTCGTCCTATGTTCTTTTGTTGGTTTTCGTTCCCCTTCGAAGTTTGTCGTTTCCCGTTGCCACGGCCTTTTGTTTTTTTCTGTTTTCGTCGTTTCCCGCTTTCGTGGGYTTTTTTTTTTTTTTTTCATCGCGGGCTCTTTTTAATTTTGTTGGAAACCTTTTTTCCCCTTTTGTTTTCGTCGTTGTTGTTGTTGTTGTTGTTGTTGTTGTTTCTTTAAAGAGGCTCTGCTTTTGATTACACTGAACCAGAAACGGGGCCAGGAATTCCCCACATACAACCCGGACGCAAAACAGATAATACTGGGACCATTACTCAGCTTTGGGTGCAGGCATTCTCTGCCGCGGCCTTTTTTTTTTTTTTTTTATGTTGTTGGAAACCAAGCGTTCGTCGTTCCCCTGACTTTTGTTTTGTTGGTTTTTCGGGCGTTTGTCGTTCCACTTCCTCTCAGTTTTGTCACTTTCGGCAAAACGCATGGGGCGGGTGCACGCACCCGCCTGCGCGGCACCCAACCACTCACCGACCTTGCCCGACTGCCCGCCCACTCATACCCAGCAACCTAACCCGGCTGCCCGCCCACTCGCACCCACGGACCCAGTCCGGCCGCCCGCCCACTCACACCCACGGACCCAGCCCGACCGCCTGCCCGCCAACCACCCGCGCAACTTTGCCC